GGACTGGGAGGATTGCGGTGTGGGGGAACGGGGAGAGGGACTGGTGATGACGAGGGGAAGGGGGACCGGAAGGATGGAAAAAATGGGTGCAACTGAAGAGGAAAGGGAACGGAAGGAGGGGGTTGGGGCGGGAAGATGGAGAGCGGGGAGGAGGAGGACGCAGGGGAAAAAAGTGTGAAACTGAAGAAGGGAGAAGGAATGGATGGGAAGAAAACAAAGAACCGGGACAAATAAGGGCGGAGAGGCTGGTCTGGCTCGCGCGTCTGGGCTCCCGCGTGCGAGAAGGCTCATGCGCGCCCAAGCCCGCAGGAGAGCCCAGAAACGAATCGATAAGTTGGATCGGCGATCGAAATGAATCGGATCGGTGGAAATCGTCAGCAGAGTCGGGAAAAGTCGGATCGGCAGAACTCGGCAAGCTAGTAAGGCCTCACTGAGAAAAGTACAGTAAAATCGAATCCAGCCGGAGGATTCGAAACGAGCCCTGGCAGGGGACATAGGGGGCGGAGGAGGAGGAGGAGGAGAATGGAGAGGGGGAAAGGGAGGAGGAGGAGGCGGAGGAGGCGGAGGAGGAGGAGGTGGAGGAAAAGGAGGAGGATGAAGAAGAGGAGGAGGAACGGGAGGGTGTGGGCACGCGGGGGGGCCAGCAGATCGCAGAAGGGGAAGAGCTGGCTGCACAGAGGACCCTGGGCCGTCTCCCGATCCAGTGTGTCCGCGTGCCGCGCGAGCCGCGCGGTCCCCAAGAGAGGCAGAGAGGCGCGGCTCTGCAAGCTTCCCCCGGCCTTTTGGGAAGTTTTCGAAGCTTTGGACGCCCGAAATGGGTACGGAAAAATAGGCACGATGCCTAACAAATGTTGTACAAAACCGACAACGGCCGCTGTTGAGCAGGCGTCTCTACAAAGAACAACGTCAGCGGAGGTACGGACAGCGAGTCCTGTTGAAAATGATCAGGAACTGCTGTTGGGCATCATAACCATTCTTTCCGTACCCATGTCGATCGTCCCGATAAGCCTTCCTCGAAGACGCAGGGCACCTCTCAGAAGGCCAGAAGCCTTTTGAGAAGCCCCGCCGCCCTCTGAGAAGGCCTTCTCCTTCTCGGTTTTCACCCCCCTCGCTCGCCACCGACAGCCGCCAGGTGAGATGGAATCAGATTGCGTGAATGCATCAGGGTCGTGCTGGAACACTAGCTGCACAAGACGGGGGGCTCAACAATAGAGAATCCCACCAGCCCTTTGGGCGTGAGTGGTTTAGAGAGCCCGCTCTGTCCTCAACCCCCCTTCCTCCCCTTCGGGGAGGGGTTTACCCCTCCCCCTACCCCCTCCCCCTGGGCCTGGAGAGGGCGGGCCGCGGGTCGTCAGGGGAGTCTTTTTCGACCCCTGGGAGGGCCAACAAAAACGACGACCCTCACGAGGATTCTGGCCCCGACGGGGGGACCGAGTTGGGCGCCCCCGCTCTTCTTTGAAGCCAAAATCATTGATTTTACTAGGGTTTGGGGCCCATTTTGGGCTTCTGAGGGGGCAGCGCTCATCGTCCTTCATAGCAAATTCATTGATTTTACGAAGGTTTTGGGCTCATTTTGTCCTTCTCAGGGGGCAGCGCTCATTTGCGCTTCTGAGGAGGCCGCAAGAGGCCCCAAGATGGCCCCAAGAGGCCCCCAGGAGGCTCCCAAGAGGCCTCCAAGAGGCCCCCAAGAGGCCCCCAAGAGGCCCCAAGAGGCCCCCAAGAGGCCCCCAAGAGGCCCCCAAGAGGCCCCAAGAGGCCCCAAGAGGCCCCCAAGAGGCCCCCAAGAGGCCCCCAAGAGGCCCCCCCCAAGAGGCTCCAAGAGGCCCCCAAGAGGCCCCACGAGGAGCCCGAACGACTCACACCAGGACGAGGGGCCCGAACGACTCACACCACGAAGAGCCCGAACGACTCACACCACAAGGAGGGGCCCGAACGACTCACACCAGGACGAGGCGCCCGAACGACTCACACCACGAGGAGCCCGAACGACTCACACCACGACGCGGGCCCCGAACGACTCACACCACGAGGAGCCCGAACGAGTCACACCAGGAGGAGGGGCCCGAACGACTCACACCAGGACGAGGGGCCCGAACAACTCACACCACGAGAAGCCCGAACGACTCACACCAGGACGAAGAGCCCGAACGACTCACACCACGAAGAGCCCGAACGACTCACACCAGGAAGAAGGGCCCGAACGACTCACACCAGGACGAGAAACCCCAAACGACTCAAATCACGAGGAGCGCTTTCTCTCCCTCCTCCTCCGCCTCGTCCTTCTCCCGCTCCCCCCACAAGGAGGATGTACAAGGAGGCGGGAGGAAGGAGGAACAGGGGAGATATGCGGGGCCAAGCGGACACACGCCTGAAAAACACGACTGTCGGCATGCTTCGCAAGAGTTGCTGCTGTGAGATGGGCTGGTGGGGATACGCGAAGCGTAAAGAATTTGCCATTCCCCAGCAACGCAAACAAGCGGAGAGCAAATGAAAAAGGCCGATCAACTGTGGAAGGGCGGAAAAGGTCAAGGAAACCAACCCGCCCAAAAGTCCGCAAGGAGAAAAGACCTCACTCCAGTGTCAGCCAGTACCTTGAGTCGAGATGGCGATATGCGAAGGAAAAGTGAATCATACGCAGGGTGCGCACAGAGTTCCATGATCCGACAAGCGGGCGTGGGCAGTAACTGTGCAATCGAGCGAAGGTGTCAACAAACATCTCGCATGACACGCCTTGGGGCAGGACAAAGAAGGTCGAGGAACACGATGCGGCCGAATGGCTACGGGTTGCTAGAAACCGACCCCCCCGAAGAAAAGCGCTTGATCGCAGGGCCCATGCACAGAGTGTCCGAATGTTCCTGTATGGCTAACTAGTGCTTTGCCCGATGCGCGGCGAGAGACTGAGAAAGAGCTAGAGAAAGGGGGAGAGAGACACAGAGATAGAGAGATGTAGATATAGGTAGAAAGAGAGAGAGAGAGAGAGAGAGAGACGGGGAGAGTAAAGAGTGATAAGGTGCATACGAATGCGACTGAGCGTAGAGGTGGCGGCCTTCAGCCTTCAGCCAGGAGCACCTCGGCTGGTGGAGCTCGCAGACCACACGCGGAAGGCCCGAACATCATTTGAACCACATGGGTTCGGGAGCGGGCAGCGAAGGCTGTGGATGCCCGTTGCTCGCCCCAGCCAGCAGAGGTGGCAGGCTGGGGCGTGGCCCGAGGCCCCTGATAGTCCTCAGTTTGGAACGCAGCGTCGACGAGCAAACCTCTGGGGTCATGGCACGATTATCAGACTTCGCCCCCTCTCCTGTTTCTCGCCACTCCCGATGTCCAAGCCCAACACTGGGGGAGCCGCGCCTGGCAGTGAGGCAACCGTGGAGGAGCGGATTCAGAGGCAGCAGGGGCAAGAGGTGGTCGTGGTGGGAGGTGATCTGGGCTCCTTGATACTTAGCGCAATAGGCTCGGAAGGTCCAAAGCGTGGTTCCCCTCCCTCGTCACTGAAACATTCCTCGCCCTATTCCTCCACACATGTGAGAGCAGCCACTGGCTCGTGCAGCATTCGTTTTGATCGCGAGTCATTCTTTCAGATGGGCCCTAACGGCGCCACTGCTAGCAAAGACGTGCGGTCATTGGCTTTGTATCATTCGCCATGGGACTTTCTCTGATTTCCTCCGACTCGCACTCTTGCCTGAGCAATTACTGCCACGGGTAGCACCATTCTGCTTGGTCCGCCCATGTGGGAGGTTACATCGGCCAGCAGGGGGCAGAAACAGAGGCAAATGTCGTGGTCGCAATTTTGTGCGATACCGAGTGCTGTCGCTTGATCTTGCCTTTTGCGCATCCACATCTCCCACCTCCTCCGCCAGGGGGTGCGGCTGCGTGGCCAGAGGTGGCAGCCCGGGAGGCCGCAGACCGCGGCTCGGACTCCCCATCGACGAGCGATGTGGAGGAGGAGGAGGAGTGGCAGTTTGTTTCATGGTTTTCACTGCCTTCCGAGGCCGATCCCGGCCCAGTCCAGCCTCCTCCTCCTCCTCCTCCTCCTCCCCCTCCTCCTCTTTCTCTTCCTCCTTCTCCTAATTGACGCAGTGGTGCACTTGCGGCCGCGCAGCCTTCACAACTGCCTGCAGTTCCGCCCAGCACGAGAGTCATCTTCCCCCTCCAACAAAAACAGTTTTTGCTTCGAGCCATGGAAGTTGGTTTTGCTCCACCGCGCGTGTGCCCCTAACAAGATCATTTTACTCCAGCAGCTGCCCGCGCCATTCCTCGATGCCTCGAGCCATGTTGATAAAATCTGACAGGCTCAGTGCAGGTCTGGTAGATCTGGCAGAACCGGTATTTCGGCCATGCGCAGTGGCGAGAAAGAGCGTGTAACACCACACAGGACAAGGGTGAGGAGCATGCGTGGGCGTGCAGGGGGAAGAGGAGGAAACACTGGAGAAGGAGGCCTGGGGGATTGTGTACGCATGTTCTGTTGTGACTATCCCTCTTCCTCATCCTCCATGCGCTCTTTCTCTTTCACTCATCCCCCACTGGGTTCCCTTGGCGGCGCCTCCAGCGCCGGTCAGGAAATCCGCGCGGCCGCGTAATAGACGCATGGCGCGAGCGTCTGGCACTGTGAAAGATTATTGGTTATAATGCGGTTGGTTAAATCAAGAGCGTGCCATCCATCACCTTTCAATCGAACCGCTGGCGCGTCCAACTAAGTTGGGCGCGTCCAGCAAGAGAAAATGAATCACGGGTAAGTTACTTACCCGTGATTCATTTTCTCTTGCTCATCCAAGACTTTGAGATGCCCCTCGATGCGATTGATCTCTTCAGTCAACACTGCGATGGCCTCCACATCGTGTCCATCCTCCGCCTTCTGGCGCTCGATGATGAGCCACGCGTTGCGTACCTTGAGCTTGCTTCGATGCTCCTTGATCGACATTGCCACCTGCTGGCGCGCGGTAGCCGCGGCGAGGCTGAAAAGGCCAACGGGACCAACGGAGACGCTCGATAATGCCGACCCTTCAAGTGCCTCGGATAGCATGCTGACAGGCATCATTCCCAAGCACGTGGCCGCGTTGTCGCCGCACGAGAGGATCGTGAGGAAGTCCATGATGGCCCACACGAAATTCTTGAGCATGAGGATGACAACGAAACTGCCAAAGGTTAGGCCGTCCCACTCGAAATCCGCCGACCCTCGCTTGCCAAGGGTGAAAGGCGTGTGAGATGTTTGTCCCCATGTCCCTGTTCCCCCTCCTCAGGGTCCACCAGCCCGTTAGGAGGGTGGAGCCCCAAAAGGAGGGGGCATGAACTCCTCAACGCCTCTGCGGGGAGAGCCTCTAAATCCAATCTCTGACGCGTCAAAGGTGTCCAAGATGCTCTCCAAGACGGCTCAAGAAGGGCTCCGACATGCCTAGCGGGAGGCCCAAGAGACCCCAAATAATCTGAAGAGGTCCCGAGATGGAACCCAACCGCCCCGAATCTAATATATTAGACTAGAACCACGCGCGCGCTTAGGTTCTAGCAAGCTCCAGCCCTTGACCATGTCCCAGCTGCGTGCAGATGCGTACGCACACATGCCACGGCTGGAGCTACCCACACATTGTTCGGGCATTGGGAGCAAACATCTTACTTGAAAGAGTGGACCGAACAAGGAAGATTCCAGACATGGTGTTGTACGACGACTCCGAGAGCGCCCCAAGAGGAGCCCAGGAGAACGCCGAAGGACAGTCGAAGACGAGTCCAAGAGCGCCTCGAAAGGCTCGAAGAAGGCCGAAGAAGGCCCAGGGCGGGGCAGCGGACGGCCTGAAGAGGCGTCCCAAGGGGACCCGAAGCTGGCCCCAATGTGGCGTCAACAGAGCCCCAAAAGGCTCCGAAGGGCCTCAAAGCGACGGCGCGACAGGGCCCCAAGGATTGCCCTGAGATGGCCCTAGAGAAAGGCCGAAGAAGGCTCAGGAAGAGCTCCAATATTGGCGCCAAAATGGCCTCAAGAGGTGTTCCAACAGGTTCCGAAGAGGCCTCACACGAGCGTCAAAACAGACCACCCCCAAAATAGCCCCACTGCCCAATTGACAGCCAACTATTGTTTCCGGAGGGGCTCCTGAGCGTTCCGAAAAAATGGTCCGAAATTGGATGACGCTCGCTCGCCACTGACCCCTCCCTCTCATCACCATCATCATCATCAGCAGCATCATCATCATCATCATCATTATCATCATCATCAGCATCATCATCTTCATCAGCATCATCATCGTCATCAGCATCATCATCAACATCACCATCAGCAACAAGATTAACATCATCAGCATCAGCAGACCCAGCATCATCGTAATCATCATCATCAGCAACATCAGCATCAGCAGCACAAGTATCATCATCATCAGTAGCAGCAGAAGCAGCAGCCATCCTCATGAGCACTATCAGCATCAGCAGCATCATCAGCAACATCAGCATGATCATCATCATTATCAACATCATCATCACCATCATCATCTCATCATAATCATCACTATCATCATTATCATCATCATCATCATCATCATCATCATCATCATCATCATCATCATCCGAACCATCAGCATCATTACCGCCATGTTTATTCCACAGTTATTACCATCACGACCATCATCATCATCGTCATCATTACCGAAACCATCATCATAATCAGCAGCAGCACCAGCATCAGCAACATCATCATCCTCATCGTCATCATCATTATCAGCATCATCGGAATCGACAGCGTCATCACCATCATCAGCATTACCATGATTATAATCACACAATCTTCACCATCATCATCATCATCATCATCATCATCATCATCATCATCATCAGCATCAACATCATCACCATCACCATCATCGTAACCATCATCATCAGTAGCAGCAGCAGCAGCACCAGCATCATCATCACTCTCATCACCATCCTAACCATCGTCATGATCAATATCGTCACCGTTTTCAGCATCGTCATCATCACCCTCAGCAGCAGCATCAACATCAGCATCAGCATCACCATCATCATCACCTCATCAGCATCATTATCATCATCAGCAGCATCACCATCATCATCATCATCACCAATCGTAGTATTGGTAGTGTTGCTATTGGTATTCCTATCAGTGTTCCTCGTATTTAGAGCATCGTCATGAGCATCCGCATCATCATCAGCAGCATCATCAGCATCATCAATAACACCATCATCATCGTCAACATATGAATCATCACCACCACCGCCATCAGCATCATCAACGTCACCATAAGCATCATCGCCGTCGTCATCAGCCTAAGAACCATCACTATCTCAGCATCAGCATCACCAACATCATCATCACCATCATCAGCATCATCAACATCAATTCCATCACCATCAGCATTAGCATCATTATCATCATTCTCAGTATCAGTATCATCAGCATGATCATAATCATCAGCATCAGCAATACCATCATCGTCATTAGCAACATCATCATCATGATCATCATCATGATCAGCATCCTCAACCTTGTCCTCATCATCAGCATCA